GGGTGGGTGTGGGGAGGGATTCGGTTTCTCTACCTGCAGAATTACTATCCCCTACCCTGCCCCATTGGCATAAAATGCCCTGAAAATGTAAGAAGTCCTGGGCAGAGGTGGTATTTATGGTGTGTTTCTACCCCCAACAGCTGTCAAGGGCCTTGCAGCCTGTGGCACCTTGGCAGAGTCTCAAGGACCCCCTTGACACAGCTGTGTGTTTCCAGGCTTCCCCTCAGCCTCTTTGTATAAGCAACTGTGGGAAGCTGGGACGTGGGACAAGACTTTGGGGCTGTTTGGGCCTGATTTACACCTCTGCCTCTGCCTTAGGACTCCCTTCTCCCCACTGCAGGAAGCAGGGATTGAAGGTAACCCCTTGCCTTGTAACAGGGAGGTGGATGGCTGTCGTATTTCCTGCCCTAAGAGGCATCTGACTGGGCTGGGGCCTTGGTATTTCAGGACCCTGGTCAGCGCCCCCTCTGTGCCCCACTTCACAGGAAGGGCAGGACCTATTTCTAGCTTGAAACCTCGTCCTAGACCCCCAGCCCTTCCAGCCATTAGTCATCTTCGCAGAGCCTTGCAACTTTATGCCTATGCATAAAAACTGGAGGGATTCGTCCTGGAGTTTGCTGCCGGCGCCGCTGCCATTAGAGCGGTTTTAATTAGCTCAGGATTTTAATGATCTGAAATCAAGAAGAACCCCATCTCAGAAGTAAAGCCGGAGCTGCACACATGGAAGAACTTGTCTGACGAAACAGATGGAGGTGGTGCTCTCAGGGGACTGGGCTGTGTGCTCCTTTTCAGCAAGCAGCAAATGAGTTTCTGAGGCCAGAAGGCTGAGGAGGGAAGCAGAGGTCAGTCCCAGTGTCGCCCCCGCCGACGCCCGGCAGGGGCAGAGCCAAGGTTGGCCCCTCAGCAGCCAGGGCTTAATGCTTGGTGCCGGATTCAAGGTGACGGCAGTGCCTGGCTCCATTCTCCTCAAGTTGCCATAGCAGCCTCTCTCTCTCAATGAGAGCTTCTCCTGGAGCCCTCAGCTGGGAGGGAGGGACGTCATTGTTCGCTCCTGCCTGCTCGAGGAGGACACCGACTGGACAGAGAACTTTCCCAGCCCAGGGTCCGCACACCAAGTGGGTGCACCCATGGGCATGTGCTCGGATGCCTCCTGTTGCTTCCACTGGGGTGTGGGGTGGGTCCCCACAGCCAGAAGTGGTCCTCGGGGGGGCTGGGGGAAGCATCCAGGCCTTGTAGCAGCCGCAGTCAAGTGTGTCCTTGGAGCCGTCCGTCCATCGCCTGCCGGGCCATCGCCACTGGAGGTGCGTGTTTGGTTTTTTTTTTGGCTGAATTCCCAAGTTCTTGCTTGTGCCCTGAAGTGAATTTTTTGAAGAGACAATGTTTAAATCAGATAAATAAGGAAATGGGAGGAATCCTTGGCCCTGCCCTGTGTCCCAGGAGGTGTTTACAAGATTAATTGGATTTTTTTTTCTTACAGTAAAAATCGGCGACGCCATTCAGGTGTCAGGAAGAGGAGCCGCTGGGAGTTCTAGGAATTGTGATGAGGGCAGGACCTTCTGGAAGCTCAGTGGGCTGTTTATTTTCCTTGCCTTACTCCTCCCCACTCTGCTCCCAGTTATTTGAGTTTTCTTATTGTCTGTTGGTGGTGGAAGGGAGGCAGGGAGATAGAGGAGGGTTTTCCATTTGTCATTGGAACTGAGGCTGATGCAGTGCATGGTGAGGAGGCCGCAGAACGTGTTTATGGGGCCTGGGCAACCTGGCCGTGCCTGTGACAGATCCTAGCCTCCACAACCTCCAGGAGGAGACAAACAGCCTTTGGACCAGCATCTCCCTGTTGCCTTGAAAATAACCTGTGACTTTGAAGACCAGAACCCTAGGGGAACAATAGGAGACCAGCTGTGCATACTCTCTGGAGTGTCTGGTGGTGTGATGATGACCTCCCATCCACCCCCCACCTTTAAAGAAAGAATCTTACTGATTCTGTGATGTTGGCCCCCTCCTGGGGCATTGAGACCCAGCAGACTTTGAACAGTCACCTGGGAGGGGAGACATGCTAACCTTTTGGTTCCCGTTTGCATGGAGCAGGGAGTTAGCTGGTCAGATGGTCTCCAGGGAGAGCAAACACTGACAGGAGGGTCGGGTGCTTAGGGGCTGGGCAGGGGAAGCCATGCTCGGCTCTAACTCCCTCCCTGGGCTGGAGAAGGTGCCTGTAGTCTCTCAGGAGCCAACAAAGGGAAGGGTCTCTGAAAAGAGAAATCTGAATGGTTGGTGCTCTTGCCACAGTGAAGGCGCAGATGCTGAGGCTTCGTCCTCTTCTCCCCCAGATTTGGGGGCTGGGAGGTGGTCCTCATCCAGGCTCCCAGGCTCATGGGCTGCCAGAGCCCAGCTGCATATGGTGGGCTGATTTGGGCAAGTTCAGAAACAAATGAGGGCGGGTCATGGCTGCAGGACAGGGGAAGTCAATGTGGCAGATTGCGGAGCAGAGGGGACTGACCAGTTCTTCTGCAGTCACTTCTGCAGCACCAGCTACTGTCCAGACAACGCGATGATGATCACTGGGGCGTCCGAGTCCCCCTTTTGCATCAAACGGAGTGTTTGGGCTGAGGTTGGGTGGCACTTTATCAGTTATTTTCCAGCACATTTAGCCATAAACTTGCCATCCTTTCTTCCCCCTTTTCTTTGTCCTTCTCTCTCCTTCCTTACAAAATGTCCTGATGTCAGAGGTCACCCTAGATCAGATTGGCCTCCTGGCCTCGTGTCAGACTCAGGAGGCCGTGTGGCCGCAGAATGTGTGCCAACACCATGACCAGCATAGTCAGGGCTTTGTGGCCATTTCCTCAGAGCTGGGTTCTTGCTGGGGACCGTCAGTGGTGTGGGTGTACAGGTGCTCGCCAGTGTGCGTGCAGGTGTGTGTATACGTGTTAGTGCATGTGTCCTGTCTCCATCGCATCCCCACTCTTTCAACTCTTTTCTGTGATGCCTGGCAATTTCAAGGGTTTAAGCCAACTGCTAGAGATAAGAAGCAGAGAGAGGGTGGGAGAAAATAGCTCCACCTCCCCCATCCGTGGCTCATACTTCCCCTGGACCTCAGGGCTGGCCCCAGTGGGCCCCGCAAGCAGTGCCTGGGAGTCCGCAGGGAGTGAGCATGCTGTGGGCAGCACTGATAGTGACCTTGTTCTTCAACACAGCCTGGGGTCTGCCCTGGTCCCCAGGACAGTCAGACCGAGGGCAGCCACGGAGGGGGAGGCCGTGGCCCCACATGAAGGACGGTAGGATCTAAGCCTTGGGGACGGGGGCTGTGGCTGCCCATTTTCACCCACTGCAAGCCCGGGGATGGCAGGAAGCAGCAGTCTTCCCCTGAGGTTGGGGCCAGCCTGAAACCCCAGAGCCAGAGCCAGAAACAGAGCAGAGCTTTACGCTTCCTCCCAAACATAAAAAGCTGGGAGGTCGTGGGAACCACCTGCTCAGCACAGCCCAGAGAACCCAAGATCCAGCGCGTTCCTCATGCGTAGAGGCCTGGGGCAGGTTAATTAAAGTTAACTGAGTGAAAAAATAATTACAGAGACTGCAGTGTGGAGAAACCCAAACCTGTAATTTAACACTCCTCAGCCCCAGAGCTTTCTCAGAACAGTGCAGGCCTTTCTGGTCTGGGCAGGGGAAGGGAGGGCTTCTTTCTTATCACTGCCTGCCTCATGCCCACAGGCTGGATGCAGAGGGGACAATAGCTGGGACTTCCTGCCGGAGTGCCTGGGTGTCCAGTCAGGAATGGGTTTCCTGCCCCGAGCAGGGGAAGGTCCTTGTGCTGAGCCACGTCTGGTCTGGGGCCCAACCAGCCACTCACCTGTGGTCTCAGAGGCCACGGGAGCTGCCCACCTGGCTCAGCCCCCCTCAGGCACTGCCCTGTTCCAGGATGGGGGAAGCCAGGGCTCCTTGGGTGGTCAGAGAGTGGTGTCCCTGGGCCCAGGCTGGTAAGAACTGGAGAAAGTTGGGGGACAGAGTGACTCTCTTTCACAGGGGAGGTCCTGGGATACCTGCGCCTCTGGCACAGCCTCCTGTGCGGACTCCTCTTCAGCACCCACACTGCCCCACTGCGGGAACTGGCACCCTTCCTTTAGGCAGATGGCCTTGGGTTGCCCCATCACTGACCCATAGCCTGGCCCAACTGGGGTCACTGGTTGGTATTGGAATTTCTTCCCCTTCAGGAGGAACCAAGGTCAGGGGCAAGTTACATGCAGGCTCTGGGTCTGCAGTGGCCCAGCCTCTGAGCCAGGGGTCAGTCAGACTCGGGTCTGGCTGCCCTGTCCCAGGCCTGAGGGCCTCAAGGTTGGAGACAACCACGATCTGGCCAGAGCTTCAGCTCCACTAGTGTGACTGTCCACAGTCCCACCAGCCCATCCAGCAAGTCTGTCAGGAGGGCAACTCTGGCTGGTGGTGAATGGCCAGGTGGGGGCGTCAGTCTTTCCCTGACATCCTCTGGGCCTGGGAGGCCCCTTCTCAAAGCCTCTTGCCCTGTGGACACCTGTCCAGAATATCTCATAGAGAGGGGCCAGGGCAGAGGAGACTGAGGCCTTCACTGTCTGCCGGGCCAGTTGCAAGGGACAAGGACCTGGATTCCTATCTGTACCTAGAACTCACCATGGCATGCAAGTGTGCTTGTTCAGAGGCTCAGAGAGTCTGGACAGTGTAGGTGGGTGGCCACTGTGCCTGGCTCTGGGTCTTGGGGCCTTACTCTGGGCTGTCCCAGGCAGAGGCCAGAGTGTGTCTCTCCATGGTTTTTCTGGGGGTGCCAATACAGGAGGCCCTGGAGGGGAGCTGCTGTCCCAGCTTCAGGTGGTCACTGGACCTCCTTGGGCTCGCAAGGTGGAAGGGACACACCTGAGTTCCGAAGGGCTGAAGGCTTCAGGGATTACACTCGGTCACGGGCAGTGACTGGGGCCTCAGCTGCCCAGGAGGCCCTGTGCCGTGGTGACGGACCATCTTTCTCCCCTTCTGCCCTGTAGACTGTGGCCTGATGGACACCTGGTGTAGACAATGAGGGAAGAACTCGCCTCTCACACCCAAGAGGTGACTCCAGAGCAAGGCCCAGATGACCCCACGTGCCGGGACGATGCGGCTGGCCTGCATGTTTTCATCCATCCTGCTGTTCGGAGCCGCGGGCCTCCTCCTCTTCATCAGCCTGCAGGACTCCACGGAGCTCACCTCCCAGCAGGTGCCAGGTGAGCCCTTGCATTGGCCCCGCCTCCCGCTTGCCCTCCAAGGCTGCCCTGGTGCCAGATCGGTGCTGAGACCCCCTAGCCTCCTCCTGGCGGGCATCAGCCTCAACATGGGAACACTTTGTCTGATGTTAGACTACTAGCCTTAGGGGTCTGGCTTCTGACCTCTGACCTTTGGCCTCTGCACTCCTTTTGGGAATGATGGCCAGGCTGACCATCTCTCAGCTGGTTGTTGCCTTTGGTGAAACTCAGATTTAAGGAGGATTCTGCCACCTCTTAGGACCTCTTCCAGGATCTGGGACATCAGAGGGTGCATGATTTCTCCTTGAACTCATGCGCCCAAATGGGACTCTCTCTGCCCAACCCTGGGACCCCTTGAATCTAGCCCCTCTGGCCTGGGCAGAGGGATAGGGTACCTCCTGGCTTTCTGAGGCTGAGACTGCTCCTGCTGGTGTCCCACCCGCTGCCTCCTATCCCACCTGTCCCTGGTGACCCACTGGAGGGGCAAACCCTCACTGACTAGCAGGGGTCCGCTGGGGACAGTGAGGAAAGAGCAGATCACATGGTTCTGGAGCCTTGGGCCGATGGGATGTGGAGAGAGGAGCTCGGGCAAGGTTCCTGCCTGTGGGACACAGCCCCTGCCCCAGAGAACACGGCAGGGTTGGGGGGCAGCAGGCACAGGGCCAAGGCCAGGGTCGCTCTGCTTTGGAATGAGAGGAAAGCACCGCTGCCAGGCCCGGAGCCTGGCGTCTCTCAGCAGTGGTCCTGGGCCTTATTAGGGGAGGGCCATGAAGACACCCATGAGCGGTGTGCTCTGGGACACGGGCAACACAGAGGAGGAGTGGAGGCTGGAGGCTCAGGCAGAAGGTCCCTGCGCCATCCCTGCCAGCAGCACACAGCACAGGAGGGCGGAGCACGGCCTGGGGGCACCTGGCCCTTAGGCGGGCAGCCTCCTCCCCAGCCACCCTCAGCCCGGGCTGGCTCACACTCTCAGGGCAGTGTGGGCCTGTAGGCAGTAGGTGGGAAGGCAAGAGGAGCACGAGCAGGCCAGAGTTAGGGCCCTGGGCTTGGCAGCTGCTACCAGAGGCCCTGGCAGGGAGTGCCTATGAGTTGATTCTCTCATCACAGAGAGTGAGTGAGAGGCAGCCAAGACTGTGTGTCCCAGGAGATGGCAGCCAGTCACTGTGCTGACTCACGCCTGGCTGGACCCTCACAGATGGTGGCTGTCACAAGTGGGTCTGGCTGCTCCCCAGCAAGGACATGTGACCAAGCTGGCTCCTCTATGGGGACTTTGCAGCCTCGTGGGGTAGCCACTCTGTCAGCCAAATCGGGCCCCACACCATCAAGATGGACAGAGTTGGCCCCGCGGTGTGTATTATCTGGGAGGAAGTGAGCTCCTGCCGAGAGGTCCCCAAACACAGCCTGGGGTGAAGCACCGCACATCCTTGATGCGTGTGTGTGTGTGTGTGTGTGTGTGTAGTGTGGGGGCTCACATACAGGCAGAGGGTCCTCATGGCCGGTGTCCAGCTGGGACAGTGCCATGCACCCATCCGCGGTACACGCTAGGGGCAGGTGCTACATTCCTGGGGGGAGTTGGGTGTGGTGGCTGGGATTTCTAGGGTGAAGTGGTGAGTGGGGTGTGGGGAAGGCTCAGGCTGGCTGGGTGTGAAAGATGGAAGGAAGCTGTAGCCATGGACCTCGTGGGCCTGGCAGATGCAGGCAAAGAGCACTCTTGGGTCCTGAGCCGTGTTCTTCTGGCCGTAAATGGAACTGAACCCCCCTTGGCACGTGCCAGGTGACGGACAGCCTTGACACTCTACGTAAAGCACATCAAACTCAGTCGTAGAACTTTAAATAATGCTTACATTACTTTCCCTGAGCAAAGTGTTCCTGACACAGGCTGTTTGTGCTGATTTGTTACTATTCATTTATTCCTTCCCTGTTCTTCTCACAGCAGCCTAATTGTGATTCGGTACCAAGAAAGCAATATCAAAGTAATTTTCCACAACATTAGTTACAATTTTCTTCTGATCTTTCAAGTGAAACAATCCCATCCTGTTGGCTTCTCTGAGCATATAAACCTTGATTACACTTATCTGTTGGAAACCAGTGCTTACAAAGTGTATGTATCCAGTTGCATGGGTGGGTGGCCCCCAGGGCCCTGGACAAGCCTTCTCTGGGTGCATTTCTGCCGGTGGGAGCTGCAGACCCAGGAGGCTGCCCTGCCGCCCGGATCGGGCGAGGCTGAGGGGGTCCACAGAGGAATTCCACACGGCTGCGCTGGCTCTCACAGTGGCAGAGAGTTCCGTGGGAACCAGTCACCGGGATCTGCTCTGGGCGGCACTGACCAATGGGGAAGGGGAGGCTGGACAGGTGGTGATTTGGAAACAAGCTAAGAGGGCAGGTGGGAGCTCTCAGTTACTTGTGTCCTCAGGGTTGGGGTGCCATTGAGGTTCCTCCCATGCAGTTACCAGGTGAACAGCTGCTGAATTTCTCGGGACCAGTCAGCGAACATCACCTGGCTAGTACATTAGAAGTAATCTTATGGAATTGCCAACTGTTGTAAATCAAGCCATATTTTCAAAAATGTTTGCTATATTTATTTATTTTTGTTGTTAATCCTCACCTGAGGATATTTTTCCATTGATTTTTAGAGAGTGTGGAAGAGAGAGGGAAAGACAGAGCGACATATAGATGTGAGAGAAACACATCGATTGGTTGCCTCCTGCACGAGCCCAACCAGGGCCTGGGCCGGGGAGGAGCCTGCACCCGAGGTACATGCCCTTGACCGGAATCGAACCCAGGACCCTTTGGTCCACAGGCTGATGGTTTATCCAGTGAGCCAAACCGGCTAGGGCAATATTTGCTATATTTAAACCAAATCTTTTGAAATGTGAATCACTTCCAGTTAACCTACCTTCAGTCTAAGATTAGATTTTCTTGTGGATCAGAGAATTCACCTATCCAACGTTTTATTCTCCAATATTGCCAGGCCCTGGATCACTTCTTGACCCAGACTAGACTTGCCCCTTTCCTAAATGGAAGACTCGGAGAGCATGCCAGAACCAGGAATGACTCACCCGACATGCTGGCCCTGGGGAGGCAGAAGACAGGCATACTGAACGTTTATGAGCTGCTTTTCTTTATGGACTTTTCATATGGAGAGTTTGGAACACACAGAGAGAAGGAGATTAGGACAGTACAATGGACCCCATGCACCCAGCACCCCCACCCTGGCCAAGTTGGCCCGTCCACATCCCCACCCACCTCCCTCCTTCTATATGATTTTAAAGCATGTACCATGTGGAATATGAATGCAGCCATAAATATTTCAATATTTTTCTCAGTTTAAAAGATAAGAACTCTTGGTTAGCATTCAACATTTTTAATATCATCAAATATTCAGCCAGTGTTCAAACATCTTGTTGTCTCACAAATATTATAAATACCTTTATTTCCCATTTGTTGTATTCAGTACCCAGGTCAGGCCCAGACATCGCAGTTGATGGGTAAGTCATTAAATCTCTTCCGTCGGTAAGATTCCCTCTCCATCTGTATTTCGCTCTTGCTATTTGTTGGAGGAAACTGGGTCACAAGTCCTGTAGAGTTTCCGCAGTTGGGATTTTTGCTGATGGTGTCCACTTGGTATAGTTCAATATTGTCTTCTGTTCTTTGGAGTCCCTATCAGTTAAGTAAATTAGCAGTTCGATCAAATGTAGGATTCGTTTTTCCTTCTTCCTTCGGCCAGAATGCACGTGTGGCACCAGGTTGTTCCTTCAGGAGGCGCACCTCTGCCCGGCTCGCTTTTGTGAAGTCGGTAGCCTAGACGCAGCCGTTCACTAGGGCTGCACAGCGCGCTCTGCCGTTTTATCATCCCTCCATCCTTTCAGTGGGATGGACTTTGTTCTAATGGGGTGAAGCGAGTCGTTAGTGACCCGTGAAACCAAAGTGACCAGTGGATTGATTGGGTTATTCATTGATACATTAAAGAAATTGACTTTATGATACAAACTGTGTTGCTAGCACACTATACATAGTTTTTCTTAATGTTTGGTTTTTGCAGAATGAGTTTTCGGAAAGCGGGCCACCCCATGTTACAGTGATGTAACTGCTTCCCCAAAGCTGTGGAGTTGTGGGTGGTGGTGCTGGGGACTGGGGCTGGTGCTGGGGAGTCGGGGCGGGAAGGCAGCCAGGGTCACAGCAGAGGTTCCCAGCAGAGGTTCCGCTCTGGGTCCTCGAATGCAGACAAAGGGACTGGACAGCTCAGGTGGTGTCTTGGTCTACAGCCTGCCCCAGGGCACTCCTTCCAGGGCACGGGGCATTCAAGGATCATAACAATAACAAACAGCCACTTGCCGGGTCTGTGCTAACACTTTACATGTGTTCATGCATATAATTCTTATAAACAGTGATTATTCCTATTGGCAGATGAGGTGCCCAGCTCTCCCTACGGTGGACACACCAATAGCAACACCACTGATGTGGGCACACTCTGGGCATTCACTCGTGATGGGCACTGTCACAGGTCTTCCCATGTGTTTGGAATTCATTTGATCCTTTCAAAACCCCACGAACTAAGTCCTGTTACACCATTCGACAGAGGAGCTTGCTGAGGTGAGAGGTTAAAAGCTGTGCCTTTGGGCTTCAGAGCCAGCTTTAGAGCTGGCTGTCGCCCACTGCACCTACTGCCTCCCCAACAGCCGTGATGGTTGGTATTGCCTGGTCTGGGCCCAGAGCAGGGCTGGGCAGAGGGAAGAGTGTGGATCAGGGTTTGGAGGCATGAGAGGCTGTGGCATGGCAGGGACTCCCAGTGGGTTCGGGGCTGGATTGCGACCTGCAGATCTAGACTTGTGGCTGAAGACGCAGCCAGGCTGCGGCCCAGGGAGCCCTGGAAGCATTGCAGAAGAGCGAGCCTTTGCCTCGGGCCATGGGGTGCTCTGGGATTCTGAGGGGGGAGCGGCCATCTTAGTGGCTGCATGTTGTGGCGCTGTACACAGGAGCCG